ATCGATTACTAAATTAGTTGATGATTTTTTTAATAATCAATTATTAATCTATATCTTTCCACGTCTTCTAACAGAAATCATTGCCTATCCTTCTTTATCTTACTGTTTGTCAGATTAGACAGAGGTTTTACTTTGACATATTTCATAGAAAACATCATTGTACAGGGCTGGGCTTTGACTAGGCCACTCTAAAAGATCCATATGGCTTATAGTAATAAAATTGCCCTGCAGCTTTCTCTGTATATTTACATCTCTGATCCAGTTGTAGCTCTTTTAAGTGGAGTGCACCACTGACAGCTGTCGTGTCGTCAGATGCTGCCCCCCCCCCCTTCAGCTTTTGATCTCCGCAGCTGTTCAAGAGATACCATGAAGAAGAAGGCTGAGTAATGATTTCCTTTTCTAGACTTTCGATGGATGTCCTTGTCTTCTTAGATTTTCAAAAGGGCCAAACTTTCAGCGGGTTTGGATTTGTATTAAGCATTGTTCAGTGAGCTAGTTAAAGCCTTTGATATTCTCTATCTCCTGACCCCATGTTCATCTTCTCCATATCTTGTCCCCAACATGTCTGGTTTGTTTCTCTGTTTTCCAGAGAGCACAGGATCCCTTCAAATAACACAAAGCTGGAAAGCATCCACTAACTGGATGACTTCCAAAACACTCTGACTGGATTTTATTTAGTGAAAATATATGGAGTGGATTTTGTTCCATTATCGGTGCAAGCAAAGAAAATGTTTTATAAACGGAAATTTAAAAAAGAAAACACATTTGGTTATTTCATTAATTGTTTTGGTTTGTAATATTTAATTTTTTTACATTTATTTATTTTTTCCAATATCCCTATTTTTATATTGAATTGATTTTTTTTTTTTTATATACATTTTCTCTTTTCAGATTGAGTTTCATGAACTCGATAATTTTCAAATTGCATTTTAAAGGTTGCATTCTCTGCACTTTTGGGGGTGGGTTTTCCTCAGGAGTGAGGAGTAGAGATGCATTTCTATTGATCAGCTTACTGTAGCAAGGACAATATATTGGTCAATGTGCGCATAAAGAGCGAGCGTTTCTCGTGCTTGAAGTGGAGAGAATGAACAAGCGGATAGAAAAAGAATAAAGTCTGTTACAAAAAAATTATAATAATAATAATTTTATATAAATATAAAATCTGTAAAATATTACAAATATTTTATAAAATTTGGGGGAAAAAATGTAAGAAAGTTACTTGTATTACTAGTAAATATTTTTTTTATTAGAAGGTTTTTCAAATGTTCATCTGGAACGCATTTTTTTCAAATTTCAATTTACGAAACCTCTTCCTTGCTTGGAACAATACGACAGAGTATTAGGGCCAGGCTAGAGTTTTTTTATTATTATTTTTTTTTAATACAAGAATAAATGTTGCAACATTATTAAGTTGTAATATTACAGGAATAAAGTCATAAAATTACAAAAATAAAGTTGAAAATTAAAAAGAGAATGAAGTCGCCACAAACAGGAGCATTCTTTCTTCGATACAGACAGTTGTTTGCACAATCGTTACAAAGTTAATTATAATTATAGCGCCATAATTATAATAATTTGATGCTGGTGCGCTGCAAGATTTAATATTTCCTTATTTGTGAACCAATGCCAAAGCATGACTTCACAAGATGCTGGACATTCCTCATTTCAGGGAAGACAGTGCTTCTTGTAAGAGTTGTCCTAAAATACAATTTTATTCTTGTAATTTTACGACTCTTGTAAATTTACCACTTTATTCTTGTAATGTTACAATTTTATTCTTGTAATATAACGACTTAATTCTCGTAATATTATTGCTTTATTCTCATAATGTTAGGATAATACTCCATGGTAAAACAATTTACTATAAAGTATCAAAATTAAGGGGAATCAATACAAATACATTGCAGACTTTTCAGTTTTTAATGTGATAATCAAAGTGAAAAAACAGATCAGAGCATGTCTTTGCTTTGCAGTGAGGTTTTTGGTTGTAAATGGCACCCAAAAGTGTAAAGAGTATCAATACTTATTTTGCATACACCATCTTAAGAGCATGCCAGCTTACTTCCAGTAAGTCACAGTGTATAATGAAAGACCAACTCTTGTAATCACACATTTTGCTCCGAAGATAGAATCCTGCAAACCAGGCTGTCAGGCATCAACTGTATAATTTTCTCCAAGTCTGAGCAGTTTGAAGAAGGTTTGCTTCAATTTTTCCTCCTTTACAATCTCTTGCAAAGTCTTTTTCAGATATAAAAAGCAAAGGCCTTTAGCTGTGAGCGGTGACCACTAATTAAGAGTAGTATTAAAGGGAAGCAGAGGCTGTCATGTTCTTGACTGGGTTTGAGAGGGCGCTGATTGTGCTTGTGGCGTGCGCTAATTAAATCACCCATATGGCAACTTCTTTCCACACTGGTGGAGTCGGTGGTGTGAGACGCTATGAAAGAGGAGACGGGAAGAGGCAGGAACCAAGCCTTTAGTCAAAAGAGGACAGACAAAGTGTCTGTGTGTGGAGGGGGGGGGGGCAAGAGAGCCACAGGATGAGTCGAAAAAGGGTGAGACTGGAACAAACATTGAGGTTCAAGGTGAAGTATCTTTTGAGTCACAGCTAGCATTGAGGCAGGATTCAAGCAAATGTGCCATGCAGATGTGGTGACCAGTGGGTCGAATGGCTGGATGAAGTAACA